TAGGTTCCCAAAATCAAACAATGTGCCGAGACCCTGAAAGAATGGACCAGCCAGCCTGAACAACTGCTGCAGCCTCAGCAAGATGTCTTCTGTAACATACTCAATGTCCAAAACGATGTCACCCTCTCTGCCTTGTGCTGTTTTTCATCCTCGCAGCCTGACTTTCAGGTTTCCTTCTTGAGAGAACTACTCTCCTCTGTTCAGAAGGTAGTCTTGCGACAACTGAACCGCTACCTTGGCGGAGACCTGGGAGAAAGGCGACCCGAGGATGTGGAAGCAGGACAGTCGGCTCCTTCCCACAACATGGCTTCTGAACGGGCCCTGGCCTTGCTTGATGGTCTCTACCGCCGTGCCCCTAACGGTACCACTGGCTTTCTCAGCGGAAAAGTTAAGTCCCGACTCAACAACACCTTACAGTGGCTGGATGGGAAGAGTTCAGAGGAGAGGAAGGGACTTATTTCTTTCGCTGTGAAGGAGGGGTATCGCGCTCGGAGTAGGGCTATCCTTGAAAAGGCCAGGGTCAGACAAGAGATTTCGGAGCGTCGTGAGGCCTTGGCTAAAGGCAGGGACAGGACCAAACGGAAGGCTCTGTCCCGGAAGATTGGAAAGACCCTGGAAGGAAAGGAACCCATCGACAGCCTCGCGGTGTCCAATGAATTGAGGGACTTCGTCACTACTTTTCATCTGTCCAGGGAGTCCAGTCTTCTCAACGGCGCTCTGTTTCTCCAGACGTGGGAGGAGGAAGACGGCGCCGATCTGTCCTACTACGGGAGGGTGGTTGAGGTCAAGAGGAAGGCTTCGAAGTACTTCTTTGTTGTGTCTTACTGGAAATTTTCAGAGGACGAGAGCAACAAAGAAGACTACGACATTCCTCAAGAAGACATCTTCGCTGACATGGTCCTTGGAGATCTGACCCTGTGTTAAACAGTTAGATTCCCCTTACCACATATCCTGATCACTGGATGGAGGTAGGAGCTATTTGTGGTGAGTGTTGGTTGTTGTTACTAATGTGGATGTTGTACAACAAGACACTGTTTCCTTTGATTTCATGTCGTGTAATTACTGTTAAAGGAAAATTTAATACCTCACCTAAACA